TGTAGGGAACACTGGGGGTGGATGGCAGTGGGGCAAAGATGAGTTGGGTGGGGCGGCACTGAGGAGGGGCAGAAGAGGTAGAGGAGGAAAAACGGAGAAGCAGTTGTTAAAGGCGCAGTTGCTGTCTCCTTGTACTTTGAAAAGCACGTAAGAATCAACCCGAAAGATTGTCACAGTTTTGTTTCGGAATTATGCTCTCTCTGGGAAGGACACGTTAGTACTTTTTTTTTCACAAGTGGAAGAAATTAAATGTGATGAAATTTCACAGAGGGCGTGAGGACAGACAGAGTTATCTTCCCCTGCACGCGTGTAATGCCTTGCTGGGCGTGCACACACACATACACGCTCGTGCGCGTGGCCGGCAGGGTGCTGAGGGCTGGCTGCGTGGCCCGCCACTCTGTGCCCAGCGAAGGCGCTGCCGTCTCGTCGAAAAGAAACAAAAGTCGCTTCTTGTTGGGCAAAACCCTCCAAACCCCAATATCCCAAACTTCAAAACAGAATCAAAAGAAAAGACCAACATCTGAACAAACCCAAGAGTGGAGTAAAACAGTGAAAAAAAATACTTTGGCAGTGACAAACAAATTTTGGATTTTGACTTCTTGTGTTTGCTTTTTGGATTTCCTTTGGAGCAGAGGTGTGTGCGGCGTCCTTGGCTGGCTAGCTGGCAAGGTAGTTTACAGGTTTGCTTCCTTTACTTTTTTTAAAAAAAACAACTTTTTGGATTTCTACTTAAAGCCAAAGAGTTTGACATTAAAGGAAAAAAATCTGAAACCAAAAAATGCTTCTTGGGTCAGAAACTGAAGTCTTTCTTACCGTCTTCACCGAATCAGCCACATACCCCTGGGGTGATTTCGGTGACACAGCGACTCAGATCTCTGCTATAAAATAAGTTTTCTTTTTCCCTTTTCAATCAGGAAGGGGAAACCTCCCCACAGTTTGTCCATTTCTGAGTAGCTTTTTCTTTTTTGCCATAAAACCCCCCAAAATTCTTCACTGAAAATATAAGCCATCAAACGATTACTTTTTTTCATTAAAGAGAAAGCGTGTGAAAGTCATAAAGACAGAAAAAAGAGGGAGAGAAAGGAGAGGGGAAGAGAGGGAGGGAGGGAGCGGGGGGACAGAGAGAGAGAGAGAGAGAGAGGGGCAGTGGACAAGCCGGTGGCACTCCGGCCAGTGTCCCCTCCGTCGTCTAAAGCTTGGTGGGAGGTTCTGAGGATGCCTGAAGAGGTTGTTGCGTGAGATCATCAGGTAGCTGAGGAAGTTGCGTTGAATGCAGTTTTTGTTGGTTCTGTGTTTTCTTTTGGAGAGAAGCAGTAGCAGCAGTGACTCCAATAGTTGGGCTCCCAGGGCCGAGCGCAGCATCTGGGCGGCTGGGGCCGGGTGGGGTCGGTGGGCATGTGCCCGTGAGCTGAGCAGTGGGTCTGGGAGTGGTCAGCGGGGCGCGGCATCCAGTGGGCCAGGGGAGGCGGGTCGAGAGGGCCCAGTGGAGCCAGCTTCGCTAGGGCTGGTAGCACCCGTGGGCAGGCAGGGGCCCAGGCTGGCAGTGGCATCAGGCTGTCCAGGCACTGGGTCGGCCACCACGGCCGTGGGGCCTTGCAGGCTCTGGCCACACACATGGTGGTGCTTCTCCCAGTCCTTGTGCTGGCAGAAGGAGCCGCAGTAGCGCGCTGCGTTGCAGCCGCTGCACGTCTCGCTGGCCTTGCGCCCACAGTTCCAGCAGCTCTAGATTGGGGTGTGGGGGGGAGATGGTCGGGCTGGGCCAGGGCCGGGCCACCCCAAATCCCCAAAGCACCCAGCCCCGCTGCAGAATAGGGAAGTGCATACCCTAAACAAACCGGCTCAGACCCAGCCAGGGTAAGTGAGACAGGAACACCCCAAAGTGCTACGGCCGTGGGTCACCCTTGGGGGACACTGCCCTTTAGCCGGGCAATTTTGGGGAGATGGTCCCACTACTACATCACACTACTCTAGCCCACCCCAGATAGGTTCACAGTGGGCTTACAGGTCCATGGGGAACTCACGAGAGCAGGGAGACACAGCCCCTTCCTCTTTTCTAGGAAGCCCTCCTGCCTCATCAAGGCTCCAATACAGAACGTGGGGGCCCCAAAAGAATAACGACTGACACGTTCCAACATGGCGTGCATGGCAGGCCTGCCTCCGTCACAGCCCTCCCCTACCATTGGGCCTTTGCCCTCTTTCTGTGAAACAAGCATAACCCAGCTGGCCACATGAGCAGAAGCTGGGCAGGGACACCGGTGAAGGCCTCAGGCTATGGGACAGGGAAGCCCAAGTCTACCCTGGAGAAGGGCTCAGGTGCCCATTCGGCCTCTAGAGCCTCTTGGACCCCAACGCCTCCTGCTGTCCCCAGCTCACTCTGCTTGGCCACACTGGCCTTCCGTAGTCCTCAGTCTGCCAGGCGTGCCCCGCCCCAACCCCGCTTTGTCCCTACTGCTTCCTCCTGGGATGGCACTGCTCCCCAATTCCTGCACGCTGGCTCACTTACTCCAGGACTGCTCAGACATCACTGCTAGTGAGCACTGCCTGACATCTCACCCTTCTGCCACACACGTCCACAGACTGAAGTGCTCCAGACTTCACGTCCAAGCACCAGCATAATAATTTCATACCCTCCCTGAGTGTGTGCATCTGCCAGGAGCTGAGGAGGCACTTTAGATGCCGCCTAGGGTCTTCACATCCTCCTCCTGACTCTTACTTTCCAGGTTAAAGAAAGCATGGGCTTTGACATCTGCCAGCCTGGGTGCGGATCATGGCCCCATCGCCTCCCAGGGTGTGATTGGGGCAAGCCACCTCCCCTTTGGAGTCCTCAGTTTCCACATCTGTACAACGGGATGCCCACGCGTCCCGCCTCACCAGGCCATGCAGGGTCAAAAGAGCTCACAAGGCCATCGAGGTCACACAACTGGGAGGAGGCAGAGTGGCTCTGGATCTGGAGGTGGGGTGGGTGTGGGGTGGGCACCTACCTCACTGGAGTCCTCCTGCTGGTTCACGACAGTGAGAGCATCCTCAGAGGCCTGTCGTCTGGCCTCGGCCAGGGCCCGTTCCATCTTGGCGCGCTCTGTGCTGATGAGCTCGTGGGCCTTCCGCTCGGCATCCGACACAGCTTTCTGCAGCTCAGACATCGCCTGCCGCTTCACCTCATTCACTGCCTCTTCTGCAAAGGACACTCGGCTATGGTCACGTGAGCTGGCCTAGGTGAGTCTCCCGGGTCTCCGTCCTATAACCCTGGGGGTGGGGCTTGTGCACAAAGGATCACATGCATCCCTGCATGCATGTGCAAGCATGGCCACAGGGGAACTTTGCAAGCTCACACTCTCCTGCAGTGTTCTCAAATTCTACTGTGCAATGGCACCCCTGGAGGGTGGGGACCGGGCCCACCCCCAGATTCTGATTCAGGAGGCCTGGAGAGGGCCTGAGGATCTGCCTTCCCAACAAGTTCCAAGCGATGCTGCTGATGCTGGTCTTTGCAGCCACTTTGAGAACCACAGCTATACTGTTCTCCCCCAAGGACAGTCTGCCTTTCCCTGGGGCCTATCCAGAAGTAGTCCAGGAAATGCCCAGTCCAGGGCTCTGCATTGTTATTCCCCCCAAGGCCCTCTGTTATCTCCCCCACCCTCACCACCTCTGCCTGCTTATGTCTGAGGACTCAGAACACTGTTCTTGCTGTGGCCAGAGAGTCTGCTCAGATTGCACTGTGCCCTCTGACATTGGGAACAACATGACCCCAGCCCCCACTAAACCACCCCCACAGCTGTTCAGGCCTGCCTCAGTGTATCTGGCAGTGCTGCTGCTGCAGCATGGTGCGAGGGACGCTGGGGTAGGATTAAGCAAGGCTCCCATTTAAGAGGCCAAGATGGTCCTTGAGCTCCCCATCCGAGTGTTTGCACACTGTGTGCTGAGCTGCTGGCAGTGCTAGCTGCAGCTGCCTGCCCCCATGTCACTACTTAAGCTCCACATAGCTGTCACCAAGGGTCCCATAAGGCCCTGCCATGGGCCAGACAGAGGCAAAGGGCAAATTAGGACCTCTGTCCTCCTGTCCAGGCCTGCCCACTGCCTTGCTCTAGCAGCTGCTGCCTGTCTGTGGCCCCCTCGGCCTCCAGCTCTGGCCTGGGACTCTCCACTCTCTCAAGATCCTGAGATTGTTTCCCTCTAACTCACACTTCACACTGAATCCACCCACATATCCAAACATATCGGGGATCCAGCCTCTTCTCTGCACTGCCACCACCATGAGAGCCCACCTGTCTCTCTCGCTGCCCACAGGCTCCAGCTTCTGCCCAGCTCCTCCCCAAAGTATGCTCCCAGGATGCAATGAATGTCCCCCACAGAACTCCCCTGTTGCTGCGCTATGCCCAGGAGGCCGCACGGACTCCAGCTCTAAGTGCCTCTCTCATGCGTGTACATGTCTGTGCATATACACATGCATGCTGGGCCTGAGGCCCTGCTTGCTCTGCTGAGCATGGTGTTATTCCCTGGCAGGTGTTGGGTGACAGTCGTCCTGCCCTGTATACTAAGTGCACTGTGACCCCTATGGGAGCCCCGTCTGTGATGCCCTGTGAGCTTTGCCCTGAGCCAGGGCCCTGGCTGAGCTTCCAACCACACAGACCCTCCTTGTAGACGAGAGAGGGCAAGTGGGTCTGGGCCCTGGCCCCAGCTCCCTCCCCCACTGTCCCCACTCACCAGCTTTCCTCCAGATCTCCTCTGGCATGTAGCTGGAGAGGGCCCGAGGCATGAACTCCCGGTGCACGTCTGAAATACAGGGGCCAGTGTCACACGCAGGACAGGACCACGCCCTGCTGGGCGACCAGTCCATGGAGTGAGCGTGTTCTTGGTTGGGGTCCCAAGGTAGCCATGGATGGAAACCCTGTATCAGTTGCTGGAGTAGAGGCAGGGCAGCATCAGGAAGGGGGAATACCCTGAAGCCAATGGAGCTTGGATTCCACTGGGAGCTGGGCCCATCCTGAGCCTCTCTCAGTTCCCATGGTCATCATCCAGGGGATGAGTACCGACCACTGAGGCCTCCCAGCTCTGAGCCCCTGGCCCACTGGAACTGTGTCTGGGCTTCCTAGTGGGTTAGTTGGTGTCTTTGTGCAGAGCAAAAAAGGCACCTCTTTTTCAAATAAAATGGTTTTGGGTGGTATTTTATCGCAGCGTCTGAGTAAGGGCCCTGCCCTCATGGGTTCTGGCCTCGGTTCTATACCTTCCCTTCACGTGCCCCGCAGGGCCCCCTGCACTGCCCGTGATGCTGCCTACATTGTTCCCCCTGCCCCACCCCTCAGCACGCACCTAGCTGAGACCCCTCCACGCCCGCAGAGCTGCTGAGGGGCCGGGCGGCGGGGGGTGCAGGGCCCTTCTTGGTGTCCTCGGTGTCGCTGTAGCGCCGGGCCCAGTGGTTGAGCTCCTCGCGGTCAGCCTCCTGGCACCGGCGCAGCACGGTCAGTGACCGCCGTGTCTTCTCAGCCATGTCCATGATGCAGTTCAGGAGCTGTGGGGGGTCGGGTAGCCTGATGCTTCTGGGCCTCAGCCAGCCCTCCGTCCAATAGCGCCAGCCATTGGCACCCCCAAAGGGGCTGAAGGCAGGAATGTGAAAACCCAGCTCCTCTGCCTCGAAGACCCCTGAACAGCTGGGGCAGGCCTGAAGATGGCTCACTGGTCTCCCCGAGTCCCCAGCATCAGGGGCACCCCACTCAGAGGATGCATGTTTGAATGCAGGGGGCTCAGGGCCCTCCTTTCAAATCTCCATGTGTGGTCTGTCACATGTAGTGGATGTGGTCATCACTGTTCTGGGGACCACATCTTCTGCCTGGGCTTCCCCCTGAAGAGGAAGCAGGGGCAAGGATGACCCTGGAAATGGTGTTTGAGGGGTCCCACCCCACACCAAATGATCTGCCTCTGGGAGACTCTCTGCAGGAAAAGTAAGGTTTTGGGGGGCTGACTGGAAGTGGACGGCAGGCTGAAATGGGTGCCTACTTTAGACCCCACCTCACGTTTCCCAAGACCCCTACGCATCCCCCCAAGTGGGCACCGAGCAAAGGGAAGCCCAAATGAGCCCTGCCCCTGCAGCCTCACAGGTTGGGCAGAGCCGCTGCAGTCGCCATGGCCCCTGTGGCCCTGGCCTGGACACTCACATTGTTGAGGTGCTTCCACGGGCAGAGCCCCTGCAGTCACTATGGCACCTGGCCTGGACACTCACATTGTTGAGGTGCTTCCACTCCTCGGCCCATTCACGCTCTGTCAGCCTGTGGTCAATCACTTCCTCTGGCCGTGACCCGTGGACCGCTGCGGGAGGGGATTGGACACTCAGGCCCCATCTTGTGCTCCTAGGCCTCATCCCATCCTCCCCAAGCCCCAACACCTGCCCTCTAGGCTCCTGCCTAGGCTGCACCCATCTGAGTAAGGTGGAGAGGGTGAAGAAGGCATCCCCAGGCACTGACCCTCTGCCCACTGCCCACTGCTCTGAGGAAGTCAGGAACATACCTGGCCTCTGCTCAAGGCTTGGGAGGAAGAGACTCACTTCTGGTTTTGGCCACCCTTCCCGCATCTCCCTGCCTCCAAAACTTGCTGCTCTCATTCTTTCTGCCCCCTGCTGCCAAACAAGGCTGCACCAGACCTCACTTCTGGGGCCTCACCACTGCTCAGAAGCCCTCAGGGCCTCCGTGTGACTGCCTGGCTCCAACACAAGCTTTACCACTTTCTCGCAGCCAACTGGACTCCTATGTATCCGCCAGAGCCCAGGCCCCAGGCCACCTCCTCCTCATCAGCCCTGGGCCCTGGCAAGCCCTGTGTATTTCCGGTTGTTTAGTAATTGTAGGCGCTTCCTTGTTTGTTCTTAGTTCCCCTTCCCCTCAACAGTTTGTCAGTCCACAGGGCAGGGCTGGCATGTCCCATTCTCCGCTGTGTTCCCTGGGCTGAGCTCTGGCCCAGCAAGGGCTCCAGCTTATCTGCGGGGTCTCAAGTAAGCTGGTCCACGTGTGGTCTCCTGGGAGGTAGGGAGGTTGGGAAAGCCAGCAATCCTGACGCTCATTCTCCATGGGACCAGGGACCCTCATCTTGCCTCTCAGGGCCTCAGTTTCCCTGTCCTGCCTACCTCCGGGCCTGTGAGAAGACTTCTAGGAGGCACGCTAGTGGGGAGAGCCCAGGTACGAGTAGACTCTGTGCCACGTGCTCTCTCCCTTTTATCTCTGCATTGACCTCCTTCGGAGGTCCTGCTGTCATTCCCAGATTACAGATGAGAAAACCAAGGCTGCTTGAGGGAACATATTTGTCCAAGGTCGCCCAAGGTCACCCAAGGTCAGCCTGAGCAGAGCCGTGCCCTCCGCCCCTGGCTGGTATGGCTCCAGAGACCGAAACAATGGGGTCAGAAACAAATCCACCACGAGCTGCGAAATGCGTTCAAGTGCGGCAGCGTCTGTCCCCACCATGGCTCTTCCTACAGTTTCTGACCTACCAAATGCCATCCCCGCTACTGTTTTGGGTGCTCCAGCCTGTGCTGGGCAACCCAGTGTCCATCGAAGCTTTTGGGATGAGGTCTCTCTATTTAGGCCTTTTTCAGGCCCTAAGGGTCTTCTAGCACCCCAAACCCAAAGTGCTTCCCTAAACTGCAGAAAGGGTGGGAGGTAGTGGCCGTGGCCCGTTGTCTATGGCCCTGCCCTGCTGCCTGCAGAGCCAGGGCCTGCGCCAACGCCCCAACCAAAATAGTGGCTGAGATCTGCCCAACAGCTGGCATCTATTTTTGCATTAGCAGAAGCGGGTGGGAATAGCACCTGCCTGATTCAGCCACAGGGAGCCAGACGCTGTCACCTGCTGCTTGGGCCCGGGCCCTGGAAGCTTCCTCAGGGTTGGGGTGAGGAGGCCTCCTTGTATGGAACAAGGCCTCTGCTGACCCTGCCTCTGGGTCCCCCATTGGTGCCCTGGGCTGTCTCAGGGGTGGCTATTTCTAGGCTGTCCCCCATAATACACTGAAGGGCCCCTGGGGTAGGGGCTAGTCCTGTTCATCTCTTTGTCCCCACCACAGAGGAGGGCCAGTGGTCAGGCAGATGTGGCTAGAAGACTTTGGGCATGTCAGTTATGCTCTCTGGGCCTCAGTCTCCTCATCTATGACACGGGCATGCTAACATGTCGCACATACATCAGAACCTATCAAGGCCCACTGCCCTCAAGAACTGAGTAAAGGACATAATGCAAGATGTAAGTGCTGCACCCCAGACTTGTTGCCAGACTTGTAATGGATCTGGTGTTTTGATTTGGTGTTTTGGGGTTCATATCCATCCTGCCCCGAGAGCAGGATGGGCACGCATGGTCAGCGGGGCTCGGTGAGAGCTCGCAAGTCTCAGAGGACGTCCGCGTTCCCTCAGGGTGCCCAGCGACACCTGCGAGAGTGCCTTCAAGGCAGGGTCTGCAGCTGCTGTGACTTGAGGATCCTACCTGCCAGAGCCTGACCACCTGTCCTACCCATAAATAGCTAGCCTGTGCACCCCACCTGCAATATTGTGACTTACAAGAAATAAACATTTGGTCTTTCAGATGACCAAAATAATTTTTCATATATGGTCTTTATCTAGGGTTCCTGGCTCATAGTTCCCCAAACCCTTGGAATTTCCTACATGTGGAGAGGGATAAAAGTGGCTTTTGTTAATGTTAATGAGATGACCTTGGAACAGGATGGGTGCTGGTTGCCCAGAGAACAAATTATGTGAGTAGAGGGTTGGAACTTTCGGTCTTACCCCCGACCTCCAGGCTGGGGAGAGGGGCTGGAGGTTAAGTCAATCACCAATGGCCGATGATTTAATCAATCATGCCGAGGTAATGAAACCTTCGTAAAAGGATGGAGTTTGGAGAGCTTCTGCGTGAACACTGGAGATTTGGGGAGAGTGGTGTACCGGGAGAGGGCACGGACACTCCCCACCCTTTTCCCATACCCTGCCTTATGAATCTCTTTCATCTGGCTATTCCTGATTTATAACCTTTTACGATAAACAGGTGATCTAGTAAGTAAATGTTTCTCTGAGTTCTGTGAGCCACTCTTGCAAATTAATTGAACCCAAGGGGGAGATTGTGGGAACCTCTGATTTATAGCTGGTTGGTGAGAAGCACAGGTAATAACCTGGACTTGCAACTGGCATCTGAAGGGATGCGGGGTGGGCAGTCTTGTAGGACTGAACATTTAACCTGTGGGACCTGATGCTGTCTCCAAGTAGATAGTGTCAGAATTGAGTTCAATTGCAGGGCAATACGCTGGTGTCCAAGAATTGCTTGGTGTTATGTGGGAAGCAGCCCCTGCCACACGGAAATTGGGTCCAGGAACTTAATTTCCTGCCCTTCCTCTGCCCCAGCTGCAGAACCCGGCAGCCTCCCTTTTCTTGGCTGTATAAGGAGATGAACACACCTGTGCAGGAGCTGTGGGCAACTGAAGGGTGTGTGCCTCGCAGATGGTGAGAGCCCCTCAAAAGTGAGTGGCTCTACGTCCCCTAGACCCCATACCTGTGGGTCCCTGCCTCTGTCCAGCCAGTGCCCCAAGACAGGCACATCCACAGTCCCCCCACAGGGAGGGGGGCCCTCCTGGGCCCTGAAAGTAGGGATGTTGAAGCTGCCCCCAACATGAAGGTCCTGAAAAGATGGCTCTCCCTCAAATGTATCCTGGTGCAGCCCAGCCAAGGTGGGGCTCCCCTCTCCGCCCTGGGGCCAGCTACGCACTCAGATCCTTTCTCTACACCCATTTCCTCGGCATCCTTCCCAGACAGACACGTATACACAGTAGCCCTCAGATTCCCCTCCCCTTCCCCCGCCCCCGCCACAGGCACACTAGTGCTCCCACTAACATGCAGACACATTGGCCCCCACCCCCCAGTCCCCCCAGCGCACTGCTCACTGAGTTGCCGATGGCGCTCCCGCAGCTCCCGGGGGTCAGGGTGGCGGTAGGAGTCACGGGAGTGGTGGGCCAAGGCCATGTCCTCGAGGCGGTAGTGTGGAGGCAGTGTGGGGTGGGGCAGCCCGTTGCTGGGGCTGTAGCGCTGGGCAGGGCTCAGGGTGCACGGCCGTTTGCTGAGGGGGTCAGGGTGCATCGGGTCACGGTCTGACCCATTCTCTTTGGTCCTGGCCCAGAGACCGAGGAGGGGGCCAGTGGTCATGAGACAAGGAGCCATGGACAGAGGTCCGAGCAAGAGGGGTGAGAGGGAAAAGGAGGTGGTGGGCAGGGAGAGGAAGAGTGAGAAAGAAACAGAGACAGAGAGAGATTAGACTAGTCCACTGGAGGTCCAGACTCGACTCCTACCCCTGTTGTGCAAGCTCTGGGGCCCAGTCAGTGGTCAAGAAGCCTGAGCCTCTGTCTAGAGAACAGGGAGAGGAAAACACTCTCTCCTGCAAGCAGGACAAACACCCATCTCTGCGACCCAGCAGTGAGGGCCAGCTCAGGTGCCTGGGGACCTTGGGCTCCTGGACACTTTGATCTACATCTAGCACAAAGGGAATAGCCATGGAATTTCTCCAGAGAGATTCCTTCCTGCTTCTTCCCTTGTCACTCCAGGGGGACATCTGAGCCCTCAGGAGGCCTCACCACAGCACAACAGGGCAGCCTCTCGGAGATTCAGCTTGTGCAGTGGCCTTGCAGGCAAGGCTGAACTTTACCAGCCCGCTCACTAGCTGCAGGCCATAGTATTGACCCGCATTCTCTCAGTCCTGGAACTAGGGCTCCAGTTGAGCTGTGGTACCAGAGGCAGCTCTGGACTCAGTCCCTCCACTGTCCCCCTCCCCAGCCATAGAAAGCCCCCAAGGTACCTGTCAGGTGTCCTCCTCTTGCCGTTCTCATTGACTTCCAGCAGGAGCTCTGAGGAGTCAATGGGCGAAGAGGCGTTGGCATCTAGCAGAAGCTGCTCATGCTGGGCCAGGTACTGGGCAGGGGTCTGCTTGGCCAGGCGGGCACAGTGCAGGAGTTCCCGCTGCAGCAAGGGCAGGTTTGCCTGTGGCAGGGAGAGAGAGGGGCTTGTACTCGCTGCTGATGGAGGTCAGGGCATAAAGGGGCATAGCCCTGCTCCAACGCCAGGCAGGGAGGCCAATGGCCAGCCTCACCGTGTGACTTTGAGACCTCTCTAGATTTCAAGTTCCTCTACTATAAGCTGAGAATTAGGGCAGGAAGGAAAAGTAGGCAGGACTGTGCCCCCTAGGGCACACAGTGATTTGGGGGTCCAGTGGGACCTGAGACCAGATCCTCGTCTGCCAGGCTGAAGCTTTTCCACTTCACCAAACTCCCTCCCACGATGGCATCTGGAGAAGGCAAGGAAGGGATCATGATGAGGATTCCTTGACTGCACTCCGTGGAAGCAGGCACCAGATCACCCACTGTGTGGAGGAGGAAACTGAGGGTCTGAGAGAGGAAGCGGTCAGCCCACACACAGCTAACCGTAGATGGAGGAGACGGAACAGGACTCCCACATGTCTGCTCCAGATCTCCAGGTGTGCTGCTAGGAGCCCCCTGCCCTCCCACTTTTTGGGAGTTCCCAACCTGGCCTTGAATGGAGCTTGGAGTTTGGACTACGCACATTAGCGTGCCTGCACTGCTCTGAGCAGTCACACATGTCACCGTCTGTTTGTACTGCCCACGGTCCTTCAAACCATCAGGGATGGATGTTGTGACTTGGTTCTACATTTATGAATAAAAACACTAGGGCCCAGGGGGTGGAATGATATGTGCGGGAGGGGCTGGGGCACGGGATTCAAATGCAGACCTCGCCTGTAACAACCGTGTGTAACTGCTGTGCCCTCCTGTCTGTGCCCTTGCCCTGGCTCCAGGGCCTCCCAGAATGCACTGCTGGGTGGCAAGTGGGCTTCTCACGTGCCTTCTGAAGAGTCTTCCCAGAGCTGCTGTCGGGGGAGGGGCAGGCTGGGTAGGGGCCCAGTGGCAGGTCGCTTGGGAGAACCAGAGTTCCAAGTATTTGTAAATAAATACAATTCTCCAGCTTTCTCATGGTGTTTCAAAGCTGCCACATAGCCCTCTCCCGCCTCTGTCTCCCCAGAACCCATTAGCACATCCACCCGGACCCGATCAAGCAGCCGATGCAGTTTTGTTCAGCAGTGCCGGCTGCCAGGCCTGTTTTTCTATTTGGATAGCTGAACTGGGGCCAGCCCGCCATCTGTCGAACACGTTAGGAGCATGAGCTGGGAAAGGAGGTCCCGGGAGGTCTGAAGACGCCAAACATCCTTCTCTCCCTCACTGGCCCTGGGCCCCTCCTCTCCCGCACTGCCTCCCCTTGGCAGGCCCAGCAGGGTGGAGACTGCACGGGCACCGGCTGGTCTGGTCGCTGTTAGTGTGGTAGAAACATCTGGATTCCTGGCTGGCTGGGGCCAGCTGGGAGCCGGGACCATGGGTGGAGGCTGGCCGGGCGGGGCAGCCTCTCTCAGCTTCTGGAAAGCCCCGCCACTCAGCCATGCACAGCGTTGGGCTCAGGAGAGGGTGCAAAGGACCCAGGGTTCTTGGCTAGGGGGAGTGGGGCTGGGTAACACAGACCCCAGACCAGAAAAAATGGGTGAAGACCATGGGGTGCCATGTCTGGTAAATTCCCCCGGGGCAGCAGTCTCCATTGGGTCCCCAAAGGCCCATGTTGCCAAGGAGGCCTTGCCACTTCGATGCTGGACAGAATAAACTGGTCTCAAAAGCTCTCTGGATCCCAGCTCCGCCATCTGAACAAAGGTTCTAATATTTCAGAAAAGCCCGGAACTACCCTCTTCACAGATGGGAACTCTGGCCAGAGGGAAATCAACGTTCACAAAAACAACCACGATAATGGTGTTGGTTGAACTGACGTCTCCCACGTAATGAGGGTTTATGATGTTTCTGCTGCTTCACCAAACGCCTCATCTAATGCCCACACAGCCTTCATGACTGTGGGCCCTGTGGCCAGCCCACCCTGCTCTGCTGTGTGATCTTGGGCAAGTCACTTAACTCCTCTGACTTCTACCTCATCTGCAGCTAGAGCTGTGAAAAGCACCCGCTTCTACCATCCTGGGTGTAATGGGCTCCTGTGAGCTTCATATGAATTAACTTATCTACTCGCACCCCTGTGAGGTGGGTTGTTACATTCCCAGTGGCTGGAGTTTTTCAGAAGCCCACTTGTTGGAGCTGGGGTTCGGGCCAGGCAGCCAGCTCGAGACTCACTCTCAGCCACAGCCCCTGCCTCTCTGCAGTATGACAGCTCCAAGGGCCACTGTGAGGGTGCATTTCTGCTGCCCACGCAGTGGGCTTGGTGCACCTTGAGTCCTCAGGAAGCGTCACTACCGTGTCAGTGAAGGTCACGGAAGAAGAACCAAGGTGGCCCAGTGGGCCAGGCAGGGGGCGTTCTGCCGGGTTACCCCACAGCACTCTGCGTTTTAAAGTGACTAGGGCTTCTGTGACAAGGTGGATGGGGGCCCTTCCTCAGGAAGGACCATGGGGCCAGGCCCAAGCCTTGTCAACTAGCTCTGGAAACAGAACTGGCTGCACCCCAGGAGCTCCATGTCAGTGAGAGGAATGGACTCTGTGTCCTTGACAGTTCCATTGGGCCCAGGGCCCTGGGTGGGATCCCAGGTCTCAGTCATCGCAGGCAGGCCCCTCACCCTATCAGGAGAGCAAGCCGGGCATGAAAGCCCTAATAGCACTTTAGAGCCACTATGGGAAGAGGGGAAACCGAGGCAGAGAAGTATCTCAACAGGCAGTGCTGGGCCAGGTGTGTCCTGTCTGGAGCTTCACTGGGGTATCTGGGAGGATGCTGAGGTGTGAGGTGTAGCGGGCAGGGGGCCGCAGGCCTGGCTGAGGCAAGCAGCAAACTCGGATGTTAGCCCTGCCCCTGCTCCTCAGATAAACAAGGGCAGCTGACTCCAGCGGGCGGGACATCTGCTGTAAATATTTGATCCGACAGAATAAGCAGGCGCACTGTGTCCCCAAAGATGGGGAGCGGTGGAGTCAGCAGTAAGTTGAAAGGAGAAGAGAGAAGGGAAGGGCTCCTAATGAATTGCAAATGACTGCCAGATGGGCCCAAACCCTGCTCCATGCCAGCAGCCTCTTTGTCGCCAGCTCAGGAGTGTGAGCACAGTGGGGCGTGGGCAGAAGGGCAGGAAGGAGGGAGGGAGCAGATGTGGGGACATGACAACATGGGGTCTCCTTGGTGAGGGACTGCAGGGAACAAGGTGCTGGTCTGGGGCATGACCTGAGAAGGTCGGGGAGGGGCTTGGAGTCTGACAGATTTAGGTTCCGGCCTCAGCTCCTTCTTTCCACCAGCAGGGTAGACCTCAAGGCTTCAGTTTCCCTGCCTATAAATTAGGAAAGGTGCCTGTGCTGTCCCCTTCCCCACCCAGGGCTGCTGGGGGTCAGCAAGGGCAGCTTCAAAAGAGCTTAGTAAAGCATGCGTCATCTGTGGAACATTTTTTAAATCCCCAGATGATAGCCAATATGAATCTAGCATGGCCCAATTCTTCACGTGCATCACTTCATGCAATCTTCCCAATAGCCTGCAAATGATTCCCACTTTACAGTTGCAGAAACGGAGCACAGAGGGGTGAACCAGCCTGGCCCAGGCCAATAGGAGGCTCAGAGGCAGGGGCAGGGCTCAAACCTAGGAGCATCTGGTCTAGTCTGTCCTCAAGACCCTCTGGAAGGCAGCCCCTCCTCGCCCCCGCCCCTCCCCAGGGCCTGGCCAGGTGGTGAGCAGGGCCCACAACTGGAAACATCTATCAGGCACAGGAAATGAGAGCCCCAGGGGGAGGCCAGAGGCACTCAGTGTGGGCATCTCCCAAGTGAGCCCCCCAAACCCTGACCTCAGGCAGCGCACAGCAGCAAGGGTCATGGAGTCAAATGCTTCTGGGAAGCCTTTTATCTTTGTCCCTCTGGGAGGTGTATGACCTCATTTTGGAGAGCAGAGACCCTGATAAGTACCGCAGTGAAGACGCTGGTCTAACATGGACTGGATCTGTGCTCACCCTTGTTAAAATGCAGTTTCTGATTCCATGGGTCTGGGCCAAGCCCAGAAACCTTCATTGCTCACAAGCCCCCAGTGCTGCTGCCACCCAACACCAGCTATTCCCGCTGAGAGTTCCTGGTCTATTGTTTATCTTCTGTATTTGACCACAAGACATCCTTTTCATCTGACAGACGTTCATCTAGTTACCTTTCCACCCACACAACCACCCACCGTCAGTCTGTCCACCCATCTGTGCCTCCATCTGCCCGCTGTCCTTCTCCCCCTCACTCTGTCCCAGCCGCACAGCGCCCCGCCCCGCCCCCCAGTCCCTCAGACACAGCAGGCGCACCTTGCTTCAGGGCCTTTGCACATGCCTGGAAGGAAGGCTTTGTGTATCCACCCGGCTCCCTCCCTCCCTTCCTCAGCCCTCATCATTTGCCCCCTTTTTGTAGTTGGGCACATATCACAGAGTTTGTAGTCACTGCTGGTTGGCTGTCTCCCCTCCCAGCCAGGCCATTGGCTTTAGGAGGGTCTGTGCCTACTTTGCTCATGGCTATGTCCCCAAGCCTTGCATAGTACCTGGCACATAGCAGGTGCTTAAAATCCAGCTGTCCAGTGGATGAGTGCCTTCAGGTAATAATAACAAGACTGATTTGAGAGCTCTGTCTTAGAGCACTGGGTTTGGTGGCTGACGAATCCAGTCTGGCAACTAGTTTGTAGCCTTAACTAGTAGGAATAGGTCCTGACTGGTCAGAGCTATTCCCCCAGGGTCCCGGTCGGGCTGACTACGATGCCTGGTCAGAACTGGCAGAGAATGAACTAGGGGCATGAGGGAGCAGAGTTTGCCATTACCTTCAAGAAGGGGATGACGAATGGCCGCAGTGGGAAGTTGGTGGCCTCCTGGAGCTTGGAATGAAACTCCTCAATGGTCAGTGTGGAGTTCTGTGGGGAGAAAACCACCTCATGTTAGCCCAAGCCCCATCCACCCAGCCTGGGGAGGGCAGGAGGCCTGAGGGCTGGGCATGGCCCAGTGTCACTGCATCTTCCCTCAACAGACACATGGTGTCCTTGGCCACGTTACCCAGACTCACCACGAGGCCCAGCACCAGCGTGCGCACACGTTCTCCGATCTCGGGGGAGATGTCACTGCCGAACTGCTGCAGGGTGGTGAGGAACCGCTTGAGTTTGCTGAGCTGCCGCGCCCCACAGGCTGGGGGCAGGTGCTGCGTGGACAGTGAGGCTGTGGACGAGGTGGCCGGGCCATTGCTAAAGCCGTTGGGTGTGGATGGGGTGCCATTGATGGCTGTTGGTGAGTGGCTGCTGCCGTTCATCACTGTTGGAGGGGGAGGGGGCGTGAGGAGCACAGCAGAGAGTTGCAGGCCCCCCGCTACAGCCACAGGGATACCACGAGGGCACCAACACCCATTACAGATGCACAGACTAGGGCCTGGAAAGGTGTGTGCTTGACCCAGGGCCTCAGTGAGTGGAGTCTTCACGGTCAGACCCTCCACACTCCAGGGGTATGCCACAGCCCCCATGTGGCTTGGCAGACGCCCGCCTGCCAGCCAGGCTGCTTGGTGTCCACTGTGAACAGGCAGAGGGGCTTCTCTACTATTAGGGATCTGCCAGCCCACTTCTCCTCTTCTTGGGAGAGGTCGCTTATTCACCTGAGAGACTGATGACCCCACCTCCACCATGACAGCCCTGAGAGGGGTACACTCCCACACAGGGACCATTGCCCAAACACAGGCCCCAATGCCCGGACTGACGGGGCTGGGGTGAGGCAGAGGGACCTGGATTGCCAGGAGAAGTGGGGCTGAATCCTGGAGAGGAGGCACTGGGCCAGTTGCTGTTTGGGGCTGCTACACGCACACGGATATGTGTGCACATGGGCCCCAGGCTGTGTGTGAGGGACAAGCAAATGACCTAAGGGACCTGTGATGAACCCACGCAGGGGCCCCAGGAATAGCATCCCAGGGCTAGCAGATGCCAGGGGTGCTGTGAAGTGGTCTCAGGGAAGGACCTCCTCCCTCAGCCCCAGGCGACAGAGACTTCACACTGGAGGCTGGGGGAGCCCTCCATAACTAGCCATCTGCATCCTGGTCCCCTGGTCTCAGAAACCTGAGCAGTGACTATCAGGGTCTACAGAGAGGTCAGAGGTCACAGGCTCCCAGGGCCATTGATGATGGTGGAGGGGGCTCCAGAAGCGGGTATGGGGGAGGGCGGGACACTTCTGGGAGGCCTAAAGCTCAACTGCTAAATCTAGGAGACACTCAAATCTCGTGTCCTTGGCCACTGCACAGGCACCAGATGGCTTGCTCATGTTCACACACTCAGCCCCATCACATGCTCACCTGCCTGTTCCCTCATCCTACACATATAAGCACCCCTTGCATGGGAGTTGAGAGTGAGCCTCCTGCCTGAGGCCCTGCACCTGCCTGAACTAACCCAGACAGGCCGTGTGTGAGACTCAGGGCCTGGCCTCAGTTTCTTCATCTACAAATGGCCCTGGGTCCAAACCAGAGGTAGGGCTTCTCCACTCCACAGGCGCCTGGTCCCTCTGCTCCAGGCTCCCCAGGCTTGTAAAACTCAGGTTGTCCTCCCACCACTGGGAGGAGCCAGAAATGTTTGACCCTGATTGCTTTTACATGTGGATGATCACTCCTTGATAATTGGCCCCCACTTAGCCAGAAGTTTGGAAACCACTGATTGAAGGCCAGGGTTGACACAAAAACAGATGTGCTGCCTCCCTCCGGAGAAGGGACAGGAGCAGGAGCGGAGCCTGACACCCTGCTCCTGGGGCCCGCGTCCTTCCCAGCACAGCCTTCCCTCCCCCGGAGATGGAGACGCGACGCAAGTGGAAAACTGTTTCCCCTTCTGGGCCCCGGAAGTGACACGCTGGCTCTGAAATAATCCCACCAGAGAGGTGCGCCTGATTCGGGCCTTCCTTCTCCCTCTGGGATGGAGAGTGAACGCCAAACGCAGGACAGGAAGAGGCCCTGTGCCCCGCCTTGCCTAAAGTTTTGTACAGAGGACCCTTAGAGAGACCAGAAGAACCCAGCTGCGCTAATTTTCTGTCTCACCAGCGAGCTTAAGCCAACTCCATAGTGGACAGTGACACACACACCCCCTGGTCAAGACTGATGACAGACACTGGCGGTCACTCTAGCCAGGCCAATAGATGGCCTGAGGCCACGGGAGACCTCACCGCAGTGGGGGCTCACTCCTCAGGGTAGAGCTATGCTATCACCTGAGGTCTGTACCTTCCAGAGGCTTCTAAGACGTGCAGCTGTCCACGCTGCCTGGGCCCCCACCCGCCAGCCCCTGGCCTGGCCTGGGCATGGCCTCCCTGCAGCTCCCTTACCAGCCTGCCCTCGGCGCCTGGGTCCTCCCGGAGGCTTGCTTGCCCTCGCTGGCCTGTGCTCCCTCCCGCAGGCTGCTGGGCAGTCTCAGCAGCTTGCTAAAGAGACGCCGAAAATAACCCCCAGCCACAAGTGCTTTCATTCCACAACAGGTGTGTTACTAAGTTAGACCACACACGTGTCCCCGGCTGAGGTTTGGGGGCACACACTGGCACCCCCGCAGCTCCCCCAGTCCTAGGCCTGGGTGGGGGTCAGGCTTTGATGAGGAAGCAACAAACGGCAACCCCCCCACCGCCGCCCCTCTTCCTGCCACAGGGGTGGCTCAGGGGCTGAGAATCACATAGTCCTGATAGCGCTGCATCTGAACAGACAAGCTGGACCCAAGAGCGAGGCCAGGAGTCACAGAATGGCAAGGAGGACCATAGCATCACAGCGCATAAATAATGCACAATTGTTATATCATCTCTTCTTGGAGCCGGGAGGTACATGGTGGCCGGGAGCTACAACTGGCTTGTAGTGGGGACTTGTCCTGTCACTGGCTGACAAATACTCTGAGCATCGCCCCATAAGAACTTTCCATTATGAGCATCAGCTGCAGCCCAAGCACTGTGATGGAAATGCCCGCTAGTGACCAATGTCTGCTGAGCACCCAGTACGCGCTAGGCCTTGCACTGACTCGACCAGCAGCATCTCATGGCCCTTTGTAATTGCCCTGGCACCAGGTGCCCTGATGACTTCCAGGTGGGGAAACTGAGGTACAGGTGGTGGTACATGCCCAAAGTCATCCATCCCACTGGGAAGCGGAAGAGCTGGGACTCGACCTAGGATGGGATCTGTCCTTGAGATGCCAACTACAGACTTGCATTGACATTCTACTTTCAGTTCTAAGATTTGCCATATTTGCCCTGTTTTGCGGATTGGGAAAAAGGAGCACAGAGAGGGTATCCACCTGCCTGTGAGGTCACACAGCCTGTGAGCAGCAAGGCTAGGGTATGAATATGGCTCTGGGACTCAGGGACCTCGACTGCTCTCCTGGGCCTGCCCTACTTGGACCCCTCTCCCTATGGGAGGCAGGTCTCACTGACACGGCAGATGCAGCAGTGGGTTGCGTAGGCAGTGGGGTCATTGCTACAGCCTTCCCAGGGCAGAGTGTGCTGGTGAGGACCTCCCAGGAGGCCCATGGTTTTTGTTATTTTACTTACAAAGACAGACCATAGACCATTTTAAGCAGCCATGAAAACGGCCATGGGGCAGAGACATCGCAGGCCCGTCCTCTCGATCTGTAAGCAAAATAAGAAAAACACGCTGTCAGGAAAGGGGCCGTGGGCAGGTGGATCTGCCCTGTGGGGTGTCTGCCGTTGACCCCTCCCCTCTCTGCCTCTTGACAGCAGTTTTGGGGATCAGGACTGTCACCACCTTCGGCCAGTCGTTCCTTTCTTTGGGCCTCAGTTTCTTCTGTAAAATGACAGGGCTGGATCGGGGTTTCTCTTAGGGCCATTTCTGGCAGGACTTTCTAGGGGCCTATAAGAATTCTGGCATTCCATCAGCCTGGGTGGGATACCCTGGTTCTTAAAAAGCTCTCTTCCTGGAAGCCGCCTGGTGATCCCACTCAGCGCCATCCTCAAGGGACCTGGAGCCCAAGCTGACTTGTGATTTAGGGTTTGGGGTCTCCACTAACAGACAACCCAGTGGTAGTTCCAAGAACGAAGCCCAGGACCAAGCTGCCATGAAGGGGAGAAGCACCAAACAGAAAGGGAAATTTGATTTGTCTGAGCTGGAGTTAGTGGGTGGACGCCACAAGGAGACAGGCTGTACCACTGTCATCAGAGTGAGTCCCCTGTCACAGGATATAATCAAGAGCAGGTGGAGTGTTAGCCCTTTGAGAGTCCTCCCAGCTGCAGAGTAGCTCCTCACATTCCTTCCCAGAGTTCTCTAAGTCCTTCTGCCCACCTCCCTGGCCATGTTTCAGCTTCAACTCCAAAATGAATTTGTGGCCAGGGCAAGAAAAACCACAACCCTCAAGCCATGGTTCAAGGTCAGCCTCTGGTCAGCTTGGCTCATAGGCTGGTCCTGGAGAAGCTGGGGAGGCTCTTGGCAGGAATCCACGGCCGAGTACAGAGGCTCCATCCGTTTGGGCTGTCACCAGCCAGGTGCACAGACATGGTCAATCACCCTCTTTCAGGGAATTCCTCCAGTTAGGGAACGACTCTGAGGCCACCCTGGAGGTGGCCTGACACTCAGATGAATGACCCTAGCAGCCTCATGGAAGTAAAGCATCCGCTTAGAAAAGAAAGAACCACTTGTCTCTTCGTGACTTCTGTGTTCTAAATAGAACCGGGACCTTGAATCCAGGAGCATGAGCCCGAGGTGGGTGGGGGCAGTGGGGACGGAAAAGGCATGAAGGGAGGACCCTGAGCCACACACAGACCTGCTGCCCGCATGCACATCTGTTCATAGGCCTCATGAAAGCACTCTTGGGTGGTGTTAGCTGACTCCAGCCCTGTCCCTGACCTGGAACATCTGGTTCCCAGAGCAATGCTTTCTGGAACATGGGCTCCTGGACCGAGAAGTATAGTAGGCTGAGGGAGACATGCCCATGAGGGTCGGGGACAAGGCTCAGAGCCCTCAGCCAGATCATCAAGTGTCTGCTGTTTTCTCCTGTTTGGACTAGAACACTGGAAGTGTGTCGTTGCTTTAGGTGGAGGCCCCTGGCCTTGGTTCTTGGGAGCTGCTGCCATCCTGTCATGAGTAATTCCTTTTCTCCCCAGCTGAGGTGCAGGCTGGTGAAGTAAAACACACCATGAGCCTCTCTGCTCTACCTGTGGGGCCCGGACAAGGCGGCGACTGTTTAATAAACAGAGATTCTGCCTGCATTTCAGTCAGAGGTAAGAAGAGAGGGAAGGGTGACCCAGTGGCCACAGTGGCCATGTGAGAATGGTGTGTGTGAGAAAGCTCGGTCAGCCTCTGGCCTCTTCTAGTGTGGCTGACATAGGCAGACCCGGACCTGCGGGCCGAGGGCTGTGGAGTGAGAGTCTTGCTGCCTTGGGCCCCATCCTGGGGCAGGAGGCAGAGCCAGGGGCTTGTTCCAGTCTCTGTTACCCATGGGGACCCTGGCTCAGACCTGGTAAAAAGGGGGAGCTGGAACCTTCTGTACCAGGTGAAGGTGCAGGGAAGGGTGTTTGGTCACTCAGCTCCTACTGTGTGCTGGGACATATCTGCTTTCAGGCGGCCATACCTGGGAGCAGATGGTAATGTCCCTTTTATCAAACTGAAACTTAGCTTAAAACCAACATCCTACAAACAAAGGGCTGAGCCTGACCCCATAGTCGACGCCTTTGTTCGAAGGGGGGCTGGGTCACAATGAAGCCAGGGCTGGCTTCGAGTGGCAGAACCGGTGCCTTTCATGTCCAGAGATAAAGGGAGACACACCAGGCCCTGTGGTCCAACCCGGGTTTGAGGCAGAGCTGTGGGCCCTGGCTGGAGCCAGCTGCTCTTACTTCTCAGCCTAGTGGGAACCAGAGAGCATGAGCTGAGGAGATGAAGGCTCCTGCCACACAGAGGGGCTTCATTTGGGTTTCAAAGCCTGGGGAAGGTCCTTGAATATGGGATTTCTGGCATCTGATCATGGGGGTGGGGCTGGCAAATGGATTCTCTCCATCGCCCACCAGAAACCTTTAGAGTGCCTTGGCCTTGGGGTCAGGGAACACTGTCCTCCACACCGGCCCAAGGCTGAGAGTTTCATTCCCAACTGCTCAGGACCCAAAGTCACTGAGTCCCCAACCTCTCTGACTTGAAGGAACAGGGCTTCAGCAGTGGTTGTAGACTCTAGAAGCCTACCCAGAGCTGCTGTGAGTGCTGAGGCGCTCAACCCAGATCTGCCCAGGGCCAGTGAGACACTGCCTGAGGCTCTGGTCTGCCCAACATCTCACCAGCAGCTCAGGCCCTGCCAAGCCCAGTTCCTGGCTGACCCTCACACCCTGCTATGGCCCAGCCGCAGAGCCCCTGGTATCTGAGCCAGTGTGGAGCTCTTCCATGACCAGAGCCACCTCTGGCCAGGGTGCAGGGTGCAGGCATGACTGAATTCACCTGTACTCTACTAACCTGCCGTGTGACTGTGGGGAAGTCCCTGTCCCTCTCTGAGCTCCAAATATAACAGCTAACTTTGATGGAATGCTCACGATATGCTAGCCACTGGGTAAGAACTTCTATTAACTCACTTGTCTTCACAACAGCTCCGTGAGGCAGGGACTATGGCCAGCCTTACTTTATAGATGAGGAATGCCAGGTCCAGAGAGGTTAAGTAGCTCGCCTAAGGCTACACAGCTACAAAGTAGAAGAGATGGGATTTGAACCTCAATGTTTGGGCTCTAAGGCACGACGAGATCCTCCCTCTCAAGGGTCCAATGATGGGTAGTTAAGGGTTCAGGGTAGAGGGACTACAGCACCAGCTCCATTTGCACGCAATGAGGTGTGGAGACTCAGATAACTCGGGGGGCCCCAGAGACACCTCTCCGCTCTGCTCCACTCGGTGCCCAGCCCTGAGATTACTCACTTGTGTGGGGTGTGAATGAGGGGTGCCGCGTAGCACCCTGGGACGCAGCAGGTGGAGGGGGCGGCATGCTGGGGGGCGTGGACCGGGGCTGTGTCTTCACCTCGGCGGGGGAGTCAGGCATCGCTGCGGCCTTCTTCTCCCTGTCCGCTGCTGCAGCCCAAGGGAGGGAAGAAAGAGAGCCGGTGAAGCGGGTTGAGAGGGGGACAGTGCCACCCCGGCCCCACCTGGTGCCTGGTCAAGGCTCCCTGCCAGCAGCTGGTTTGGGCCTGTGCTGCTGGGGCCCAGCGAGGGGACACACAGCTGGACAGCAGGTGGCTCCGGGCTTTGCCCACAAAGCCAGGCCCAGTCTCAAGACCTGGTCCACCCCAGCTGTGCTCACAGGTATATGACACCCCACCCACCAGACCACGGGGCTGGCCAGGACAGGCCATCTGACCAAAGGATGGGCTTGGGTCAGCCCCTTTCACGTGGGCTGAGGATGTGGCTGCAAGAGTCCTGAGCTGGCCAGAACAGGGTGGGGAGTCCTCATTGTGGGGCGGAGGTGGTGGTCCTGGTCCTGCAGACCGGGGAGTCAGCAGCACCCCCTGAAGGGCCTGTTCAGACACACATGCCAGCCCCCCCACCCCCATTTCTGGTTCAACAGGTCTGGGGTGGGCCCAAGAATCTGCATGTCCATCAGGGTTCCTGGTGAGGCTGCTGCAGCAGGTTGGGGCCCCAGTCAGGCTGGTCTAGGGGATATTCCAGGACAGACTGGGCAACAGGAACCTCATTTTAACCATCTCCTGGCCCCGGGCAATTCCTGGGAGCAGATAGGCTGAGGACATAGACAATTTCAGGCCACTCTAGGCCTGGCCACTCAAAGTGTGGTCCTCATGTCAGCAGGTTGTGGCCCTGGACAATGTGTCAAGAGTCCCACCTGATCTGACACTCTGCTGGGGTCAGATGTGTAGAGAGAGGGTGGAAGTGGCAAAACCAGGCCTGCAGGGCCTGAGCCCCTGGCCCCACAAAGCACGACCCCAAGGAAAAGGCCTCAGGTGGTCTTACCAGCTACACACATCCTGAGCCAGCAGCTTCCCGGGAATTCTTTGCAGGTGGAAGGGGATGAACCCTGGGCCTCCCCCTCCATCTTAACACAGGGTCAGCCAGCGCCTAGGTAGGTCGCAAAGACCCGGGAGCAGTGGCTGGGATTTCAGGGGGCCTGGCTGTTCGGGGCATGGAGGTGGGCATCCTCTACCTGTTATATACAGAGGCGCAGTCCACACTGCCCCAGCCACTGCCCTGAGCTCGTCCTGCTAAAGCCGATGGGTCTCATCAAGGGCCAGGGGGATGGTGGGGTGGAGGCACTGTCAGGGCTCAATACCTCTTAGCTGTCACTATGTGACTACAGTTCTTGTCCTTTCTGCTCTTCCTCCCATTCTCCCCTCCTAGGGCCAATGCAGATCAGGGCAGACGCAGAGACACGCATGTGCGTCTGGGGCGGCCCAACTCGGGATGGTGATTAATAATGCTAATAAATGGCATTTACTGTTATTTGGTGCCCAGTACTCTGAACACTCCCTCTTATCTCTCCCCCACCCCACTTCTCCCTTCCCAGAGCAAAGATGCCCGCCATCTGCAATACTGAGGCGGGGCTCTCACAACCCTCCGTACTCCAGGGCCCTGTTGGGTGAGAGCAAAGCCCTCTCCCCACTGGGCCCCATGGAGGGGAAGCAGCCGGAATCAGCAGCCACCCAGCCTTGCAGCACCTGCTGTCCACTCAGCTGCAGCCGCTGGCCTCCCTCCCACCGGGTGCCCTGCCCTCCCCCGCAGACTGCCTGTCAGGAGGCTGATGGCTGGGCACACGTGCGCCGCAGCTGTGGAGCCTGTCAACACCATGCCTGGCTGCGGGACCAGCAGCCAGTCCCTGGTGACAACCAAAGAAGGTAAGCATGGCCGGCCACTATGGGCCCCGGGCCACCCTTATGGGTGCAGGCCATCCTGGCCAGCCCTTCATCTGACCAGGCCACCCCAGGGCAGGCGGTCCCACCGGCACGCCTGGGAGGGCATTTCAGATGCCAGGCTGGGACACGGGACTCAGGGCCTGTTCCAACTTTCCAGAGCCCTTCCACACTGGGGCTCGGCCAGAGTCTCAGATATTGAATGAACCAGAAAAGCAGATAAAAGAAAACTCAGCTGGGGAGGGGCAGGGTCACTCTAGTGGACCGACACTCCCCACATGGGGCTTGTTTAACAGACACCTCGCTGTCAAGGCAGACGAAGGGGCAGGATGGGGCCGACTCAACACGTCACATCATCTCCTCAGCCCTTGAGAGACAGACTCTAGACACACTCACCCCACGATGCCTGATGGCCCTGAGGATGGAGCAGGCAGCACTCTGCTGGTGCCCAGCGACCTCCCTTGGCAGAAAAGGAAAGGGAGGCAGGCCTGAGGCCATCTGTTTACTCAGGAGAGGAGGCAGGCTCACCGCACGAGGCCCTGCTCTCAGCACTGGACAGTCATTGCTCCTTTTATTCTCACCAAAACTCTGTTTTATAGGCACAGAGAGGTGCTGTAATCTGCCCAAGGGCACACAGCAAGTATGGGTGGGTCTCTGCAAGGTCACATGGATCTATGAGGTTTCAACACCCTTGGTAGTCTAGTCACCACAGGCACCCTTCTTCTAGAAGAGGCATCAGGTCTGGGGAGGGGGCACCCATATTGTCCCACTACCCACCTGGGTCATGGGTCCTAGGGGTTGCTAGGGTGGGACCACAGGTGCACCCAATGGGACTTCGAGTATTTCCTGAATCTTGTTTGAGTCCTGGCTCTAGTGCCTCCTGGCTGTGTGACCTGGGGCAAGTCACCTTATCTCTCTGAGCCTTTCTACTCTGTAAATGGAGCAACAATGAGCACCTCCCATTGGGCAATCGGGAGGTTAGATAAGATCAGGTGAAGAGTCTGCACACAAGAGCACTCAGTGAAATCTGGCGAAAGTTTATGGAGCAACTTGTGCTGAAACCCTGCTCTCAAGGCTGCCCTCAGCATGGACCCCTCCCAGAAAGCAAAAAAATGACAAGGGCCCTCAGGAAAGAGCGGAGGTGGTGTGGAGATGGCAAAAAACAGCATTCGTGGTCAAGGAGAGAAAATGCTAAGGCCAGAGTGTTCAGGGCCTTTAGCTGTGCAGGATGAAGGAAGGTCAGCTGAGGCCAGGCTGGCTGTTGCAGACTGCCTGCACGGCAGTGGGGAGCCACTGAAGGCTCTGCACAGCAGCTGGAGCAGGTCTTGAGTGTGCACGTTGTCTCTCCTGCCTAAATCCCTTCAGCAGCTTCCATGCACATGGGCTTCACCAGGCCTTATTAGGCTTGTGTGGCCTGAGGGCAAACTGCAGGTGCCTCTCCAAGCTCTTAGGAGCCACCAGACAGGTGCAGTCCTGTTCTCCCTGTGCAAGCTTCCTGCCCTGCCCCCCAATTCAAGGACTCTTACTGAACCACGGCTGCTCCTGGGCCCCCTAGACCCACTGGGAGGCTTAAACCTCTGGTGGCTCCACACGATCTTACTGCCTGGGGCAGTCAGCGTAGGACTGTCCATGTGGGACCTTGTGCCCATAGCCAGTGAAAGCAGAAGCTGGCTAGGGCATGGGGGCACGGTATGGAGGGGTTCAGGGGAGGAGCCCCACTGTTGGATGCTGGGTGCCGGTGAGGGGAGACAGCTCCCTCTTTTCCACAAGTCTGCCGAGGGTGCCAGCACAAGCCAGCTCAGCTGGCACAGATCCCAGCAAGTCCCGACCACCACCTGGAAAACCTGGGCTGGCCCTGTGAGACACT